CGGATTCTAATCGGGCGCGATCACTCGCTACGATTAGATCCGTCGTGATATTCCGATTACAATACGCATGCCAAAATATGTCGATTACCAAACATTAAGCGCAAAACTAAACATTGGTCAATATCCGGCTTGAGGAAAATTTCACAAAGGATCGTCTAATCTATTGAGTCTTATTTATATTTTTTTTAACATTTTTTTCTCAGGATATATATATTTTGTGCAATACACGCAGTTTTTTTGTTATGCGTATCACATGTCGTATTTTGTGTGTATGTGTGTGGTGTTCAAATAATTTTTATTTTTTTTTATACGTGTCACTCAGAATCTTCTTTTGACATTCAAACAACTCCCAGCGGCATTCCAGTATTCTCGTGTGCCATTGAACATCTCGTTTCTCGACTCGATATTCAGATCGTGGATTAATTCCGCGTAGATTGTGTTGTCAAAAGTCCGACAGCCGGCACCGGCTCCTCTCGGGCTTGTTGGGAACGCGCGCAAAAAGGCGTCTTTGGGATTCGAAATTGCTTTCGTCTCGCGAAAGTCCCTCACATAGAATTGCTAATCCGCGTTGGGATCTAAACGGTTGCCAATCATATCCGGTTCTCCGGATTAGTCGCGCGTCGAAAAGTCAGCGAGCGGTTCGTTCGGCAAGAGCGAGAAACGGCAGTGTACCTTCCGCACCGATACAGAGGCGACAACAATGTGATTCTGGGGACGAATGTTGGCTTCGGTAAGCGGATTACAAACGACTCGCACACGCGCCCAAGAAATGATATTCCACACGCGGCGAGAGATCGCTTTTTTCACGCCTTTCTCAGGCGGCGAACGACCGAGTTCGTTGATTCGCTGTGAAAACTCGCATCAAAAGAGAATACAATGTGTAGCGAAAAGTAAAATATTTTATCGGGGTTTTAAAACGTACTAATGTATTTCAAATGGTGTGATTGAAAATTCTACACAGAGAGAAAACATTTTTTTAATCGTTTCTTTTATGCGTACAAAATCCTAAAAGAAACTGATGGGAAAAATTGCACGTTGAAGGATAAAAATGGATTTAGAAGAGGAAAACGGGTGTTGTGTGAAGCCATCGGTAAAAAATTTTGAAAATAACGTTTCCTCCGTTAACGCCTTCACGAATACAGTCAAAATCATTTTTTTAAGGCCATTTTACTCCGTTTATTTGAAAAACCTGACAGGCAAATTTTGCGACCAGATTCGTATTCTGCGTACAAAATTACACAACAAATCGCGTTTAATTCTCAAACAAGTTTCACCACTTTTATTAATCTCGCAGGCCTGTATAATTTGCTTCTTAACACAACCGGACCACTCGTACGTACAAAAGATGTAATCAAGAAAATATATAATGGTAGCAAAGTCTAATGGTATAGTAATGTAACATTCTTACATTATAAAATAACCGCGATGATGAATTCGGATTAAATTAACCACGAGGAATATTTCTTCCTCGTTTGTGTGTTGAGCAGCTCGCGATCGGAACGGCGCTGTCTTAAATTGCCCTTCGTTAATAATTACTTGCTCATCAAGCTGCCACGCAGTACGCGTGTAATTGTCACGTAAGGACACGGCCAGGACGATAATAATTAGGGGCTCGTGCGATTCTCTCGCGAGAGGGAGAAAGAGAGAGAAGTAAACGAGTGATCAGCGGCGGCGCGTGATCGATGTGTAAATCCGCCGCCAATTACGCCTGGCTGTTAGTCCGACGTTAATAATTTTCTAATCAACACTGCGTGAAAGATCGATCGTATTTGTACCGTGACGAGCCGCGCGACGCCCCGTCGTCGCAATGGCGGACGTATGTAATAATCGAGCCGGGAAATTGGAATGGGAGAACTTGGAATTAGAGTTAACAGAGCCGTAAAAAAGAAAAAAAAAAAAGAAAAACAGACAACACTGCCCGGGCCAATCTATGTGAAAGCGTGCAACGTGGCAATTACATCGGCGTTACTTCTCTAATTGTCCTCATTAATAATTCCGCGTGTACTATGAAAAATGGACGACACCACTTACGCATTGACGATTAATCCCGGGATTGTATATACCGATACCGACTGATAACACTAATAACGAACATCCCCCTTATTAGCTTTAAAAAAAGCCCCTCGTGTTTTAATAACGTGTCTCATGCTACGTGTCTCGCACTGTGTTCTCGCTGCGCGAAGCGCTGCTAACTTTTTTTACAAGGTCTTTGCGATGGCTCGATACGGACGAGGCTTCATGGAAGGGATCGAACAATTTTGTAGAAACGTTTATGTATTTATGCATGTAACGGGCTTGAGATAGTGACTATAACATCGAGATGAAAATATATGCACGAAAACGTTTTGAATAATTTTCGAATAAATCTTAGCGATAAAACTTATTAGTACCTACTTGTCATAATTATCTAACGATATCTCGACACACATTCTGTGTATCAATTTACTTGGAGTTGATATTATTTCTAATAATATAAACATTGGAAATTTTATCCACTTGCTATTTGAACGTACTCGAAGACAATTTTTAAACAATTTCTAAGCCTAATTTTTAATCTTTTTTTTTTAATAACTCTTTTTCCGCCACTCATTCTGTATTCACAAATTGGAGTTCGGAGTAAAATAGATATTTATACAGCGCACGACTCTCGAGCTCGATACGATCTCTCTTTAGGTATTATATCTTTTATCGAGAGAATTTTTCACTTCTCTTCGTGTCAAGCTCGCATGGCGACGAGGCAAGGACGACGATTATCGATTACCATAACGTGACTTTCGAGATTTCCAAATGCCGCGCGTAGACTGGTCATTGGTCTTGTCCGTGAAACACTTAAGGGAAGTTATAAATAGCGGCTCGCAAGGTGCGAGTTGTCGTGGCGAAAGCGTGTCGTAGAAAAATCGGCGCTTTAACACATTTCGAACCGACGAAATTTTTGCTACCGTCGAGGTAAAATTATTTCTTGGTTTTTTGTTCAAACTTTCTTGTAACCGCGTTCACTGATGTGCACAACAAACAAATTTAGAAATATAAATATTCGTAATCGCTTATCGACAAGAGAAAAGAATAAAAAAAAAAAAGGCTCTTGAACTGTAAAACTAAACAACTACCTTTTTTGATTAATTAAATGAAAGACTTTAAAAATCCCAAACGTTTTATAATGTGAAATACGGTGTAACATGGTGTGCGCAAGCTCTTAAAACGTAATTTCACCCCGTCGGCAGTTAATGTGTTAATACCCCGGCGCTGTTTTCACAAGATAGAGGAAGGAGAGCGTTGGATTTTAGTGCTGCGGAAGAGAAGCAGTATTAGTGTTGCTGCCCCGTCGTCGCGCTTCTAATCACATCGTCTACGTAATTGCCGGTAATGTGCTTCTTTGAGGAAATAAGCCGATTACGGAATAAACAGCCGGTTCTCGGTCGTTGTAGTGAGCGGCTTCGCGGCGTGTCGCGCTTAAAAAGAAAAAAAAAAAACCTACACCCGACGGGAAAAGGAGGACGCGATCGGACGGCGAAGAAGCTGCGAATTAACCAGAAATTGTGCCGATACAGCGCGCGCGCTCGGGCGCAGTTTACCTTAATGACACCTTCTTCGACGAGTTCCGAGAGAGAAAACGCGCGGCGCCGAACGACGCTTTTATAATCGCTACGCGATGATATGTGGTTTGTAGCGACGCCAAAGCCTATTAGCGTCCACGTAGCAAAAACCGAGTACAAAGTACACATACGATTCGCAAAAGTGCATTGGAATTACATTTACACTCTCATGCACATTACCCGTCCACCAAGATTATTTATTTGCATTCTCGCGAATTTTTGAATATGGCGAAAAAAATATCGAATTTTGTAGTTAAGGGATTCTGCGATTTTTTCAAATTCTCACCTTACTTGCAAATATTCTTTTTTTTAATCAGCACAACACAGGCGCGCGCTACGCGCCTGTTATTTTTGTTTTGACGTGTTCTGTCAATGAACACAACTGTCACCGCGATGACAGCTAGAAACGTCAAGCCGCCTAGAGACGTTCAATCAGCGTCGCAAAGAGGCAACAATCAAAATCAATATAGAATCGATTCCGATTATTTCTACTGATTTTTTCTGATAGGTTTCGCTTTTTTTGGTGATCATGGACCACATGATTTTCTAAGTGTCAATAAATTGGAAATTTTGTATATGACACTTGCGAAATTATAAAAACTTGTTGATATTATAATTAAAGGACCAACAGCGCATTCGAGTGAGTTATTTGCGTAACACGGAGAGTTGATGTGTCTTACAAAAATTCAGGTCAAGAGAAGTCACGACAACATTTAGCGCTTGTTCGGCCCGAGGCGGAAATTTTCGAGGAACAACGGCGGCGCGCAGGTAGAGAAGATGAATGATTTAGAACCATTAGGTTCTCTCTCCTAAATGTTATACCGGTTCGATTAACCCAACTCGAAAGAGAGAAGAAAGACATTTATCTTCCGCGAGAAAACACATCTGATTCTCGAAGGTTTTGTGCGCGCAAAACCGCGGTGACAAAAGTCACGTTTATGTCAAGTGTGCCATATCCACAAAGTGCTTTTTATCTCATAACAGAGATGTTGATTAGATATCGATTAAAGTTACATCAACATTAATTGGTGCGGTGATGTAGCCAATAACAATTGCGAAAATACACAATATAGTTTACAGTACAGTTACCGTTTAATGAATTTCAAAAGAAATGTGTGTCTTTTCAATTGTTCGTATTCAAAGCGACAATGTGAACAATTTTTTAGTTTACATTATTTCTTTATTCTGTGCAGTTTTTGTGTCAACATCAACGGAAACAGGTTTCCAATTTGGTTGTTGCATAACGTCGAGAAACGCAATCTTGTTTTTTGCTTAAAATCTGCCATTGTCAATGTAGAAATAATACCGTAAAAACTCTCGCAGACTTGACGTCGATTCGTCGACTTTATTTTGAACGACAAAGTGGTTTTTGAAAGCGTTTATGAATGAATATATCATTTTCTATACCGTTGGAGTTAACGGAAGCGCCGTCGTGATGACTGGTGTCGCTATCCTCATCCGGATTGTTGTTACCCAAGGACGTTCTGGACTGGTGCCGAACACTGAGATCCCGCGGCGCCGAAGGTGGACTTCCGGGAGGTTGCTCCTGACTGGACAGTCCTGACGCGTTGCCCAATATATCGGTGATCATGAATCTCGATCTCTGCGGCATCGTCGTAGACGCGTCGTTTCTCTCCAAACTATTGTTGCTACCGAGATTGTTGTTGCGCGAGTCGAGCCCGTTGGAGTAACGTTCCATTCCGCCGTTTCGGTCAACGATGTTCTCCGGCCGATGGGTCTCGTGGCCGGACACTCTGCTGAGATTTAGACCGTTGTTGGCCACTGCGATGCCACTTAGAGCGGCCACGTGGTGATTCTGTTGATGATGGACCGTCATTACGGTGGACGCAGGTGGTTCCTCTGGGCTACGGGCACCCGCGGGCGCCTCTGCCGCCACCCCAGGACTCGTGCGATACCCGGGAGACAGAATTTTGCCGACGATAATCGACGTAATCCGCGCGAAAAACTTAATATCTTCGCTGTAACCAACTGCCAACCTTCACTTTATTGTCAATGTTCGATTTTTGAATACGTTGTGATTGAAAACTTTTCACGAGAGAGTCGAGAAAAATGTTTTTCACTTGGAGCATCCGATGTTCGGAGCGCAAAGATAATATAGTTTGATAAACAATTTACAGAGAGATTCGGAGATTTAGTCTCTTTAATTGAGAATTCAAATCTTTATACACCGCGTACAAGTCCGAAAACGATGGTAACAACTTGCGAGAATATTACGGAATATAATATGGCGCGTGGGACAGATATTCACGTCAAGATGCGTGTGCACCTTATTGCACTTCTTCCCGTTTCACTCAGTCACTCCAGTTCACTCCACCTCCGTTACCACCTTCTTCCCAGGCGCAATTAAGGGGCCGCTCGACTCGGCTCCCCGGTTAATTGCTAATTGGCCACTTAACATAATTGCCGCGCATAAGAGCGAAGCCGCCGACCATTTCCGCTTTCCTTTTTCTCCTTTTCCTTGCTTCAATTATTAATTATTTTTTATATAAGAGTCTGTGACGTGTGTTCCTCTCACTTTTTCGCGACTACGTCTGTTGGTGGAACGACCGCGTTCGAAGATTTGAAACACAAAACTCTTCTGCTGTCAATGTCTACTTGTTAAATGTGACGATGACACTCGTGAGAAATTTGTCTAATTATTAGAACATTTGACACATTATTTTACATCAATCTACTGGATCAGAACTTGTGATAAGTAACGGTTGATTAGGTCGTTTTATTTAAAGTCTTCAAGTCTAGCAATCACTTGATCGAATGTATACATCAATTGCAGGTCTTTATCTTTCGTCGGCTTATCGGTTGTCACAATTGGTCACGACGAGATCTCTTCGAACTTTTCACAATTTCAAATGAGAGCAAGATATACATCTCAGTCCGTCGGCACCGTTCTTCTCGCACTGTTATCCGACGTGCCATGCAGATTACTTGCGACTGTACAGCGTCAATTTAAAATCTCGGCATTAACTTTTTCAATTTTTATTCTAAATATCACGCGGAACAAATCACAGAACATTTTTTTGACATTTTTCGAACTATGACAATTTAATTAAAATTTAGCTAATCGCGATTGTGCAATTTCGGAATCGGTTTTTGAAACCGATTCCGAAATGGAATTTCAACTTTTTGTTCACCGGAAACAAGAAATACAACGCAGTTTATACTCAGCTACCCGATCCCTACGAATCCTACCTGCTAACTGATCGGTTCGACTCGACGCAGCGGGCAACGTGAACCTCCGGCTCGTTACCGAACGGCCATATCGCGATTCTGGCACGCCTTCTGACTACCCCACTGCTGCACTTGTCTGAGCCAATCGCGCGTCTTGCAACTAAGCTCCCGGCCAATCGTGACCGAGACAACCTCGGCATCTCCGCTGCATGGCACGGTTACGCCCAAGTAATTTGAAATGTGTTTCAGCAGTAATTCGATATAAAATTGTAGTTAATATCTTTCATTATAGTCTGGGGGACAGGGGAGACTCGCTCTCCTCGCGCAGAAGACGATGGTGGGAGACACGGCCAGTAACCGGTGGTGGGGGCGCAAAAGGGGAGGTATGAGTAGGGTGAAGCGAGAAGTGATACGGTCTCCCACTTTTCGGGCCCATACTCTCCTGGAGATGGAACTGGAAAGCGTATCGACCGGAGTGAGAAGGGAGAAAGAAAAGGTCCAGCGAAACTATCAGGAAGGGATGGAAGTGCTATCGAAACGGAGGAAAGAGTGAATTCGGAGCTACGTAAAGTACACCGCGGATTTACGAATTCACGAGGCGAACGGGCGCGAGCGTTTTTTGCTACATAAACTTTTTGCGTCTTCCTGTCGCAGCGTGGGCTTGAAGAAAAAGGCTTGTCAAACGTATCAAACAAGCGCGTTGATGAGCTCGAATGTATTGCCGATGTTGCAGAGAGAGAGAAAGAGCGTTAAATTGTTCAATGATGGGATCAATCAGTATAATAAAAAATAAACACACAAACTTGTTTCATTATTTCCTACAACATATTTTATAAAAAATATTTTTTATTAGACTCGGTTTGATGTAAGTGAGAATTTAATATCGTTAAAATGCATTTCTCATTTGGTAGTAGATAGGGAAATCTCGAGAAAAATTTTCTCGGGAACTTTTCAACGTCGCACTCGAAAGTATTAATATGGATGTATCGTGCTAATACCTGGACAAGCAATAGCCACGTGTACGTCATTAAAATTACATGAGGATGCGACTTGAATATCGCGACTCGGTCAGGAAGACGAAGTGAAAAGTTAAGAGCGTTAAAACTGCTGCTATCAACCTGCCAATTAACCTTCATAAATCCCAGACGCTCTATTCTGACCGTAACAACATTTTTCAGTCACTTTAAAACAATGTATAAACTTGAGCTTAACATATCCAAAGGAAAAAATTTCCGTAATCTGAATACCATCTTACTTTTACATATATTTTATAAATTTTATGGAAAATTTAACTTCAGTTAAAACCAAGAATATTATTTATTGCCTTTGTACTTGCTAAAAATTAAAAGAATGTTCAGAGATTTTTTGTTTCGTATTTGTTATAAAATATAAAAAATCTGACGTTTTTTTTCTTGCTTGTATATTTTATATAAAGCCGTAAGTAAAGCGTTTACCTATTTAGGAAGAACAGTTCTCTTATACTTCTAACGACTCCGTGAGAAGAATAGAAAGTGGATTGAGCACTACGAATAGCTTCCTCTCTTCCATCACGTTAATGTAATAATTATTTAATTAAAATAGTACTGAGGAAGCAGATAATTTCGAAAAAAAAAGAAAAAAAAACGATTATTTCCGAAACATCACTTCATATTATGCGTATTACGCGTATTAATTTACTATTACGTTACACAATTTTCACTTTCTTTAAGATAATACAACATATCGTTCTCCGATAATTAATATTTTAAAAATTAATTAATATCTTAAAATCAAATTTTACAATTTCTGGCGTAAAAATAATAAACAAAAATTTTTTCAAGTAAAACTAAACTCAAAAGTAAAACAAAACGTTAAGAATTTAACTTTTTATTATAAAATTATTTTATTGAAAAGTAAAAATGTATTTTTATTTTATTTTATTGCAAATAAACGTTCACTTTTAATTAACATGTCTCAGATCAGACATGTTTCTTTTTACGTGTTGATTAGATATTTGTAGGATCAAAAAAAGCTGACTCAAAACGCTGCGACGGAGTAGAACGAGAAGCAATCGTTCGCGGTGAGAAGCGAGCGCGCGCGTTGCGCATGCGAGCGGTCCCCCGACTTCTGGAAGTTTAGCCGTTAACTTAACCGGCGTTTACCTTAATCTAAGATCAGCTACGGGCCCGAGCCGTGCACTGCGCGGTATAATATATGGCCGTATGAATATGCATTGGACACGGTATGAAGTCTATCGCGTATTCGCGCGCGTGTGCTGCGAGAGGTAATACGCTCGCGAGCGCACCTCGTTGACGTGTTTGCCCACGCTCACTTTGCCAATACACACGACCGACGGATACGCTTTTACATTGCACGCTACTTTTACACGTGTGCGTGTGTGTGTGTGTGTGTGTGTGTGCGCGCAGAAAAATATGTAGTTGTTATGACTCGTCTTGAAACAGCTCTGTTTTATTCAATGTTTTATTCAATGTTATATATTTGGAAAGCTCTCATTCATCCGCGTGTGTGTTTCACGACACACCTTGAACATATTCAGGTTTAAGGACCTCTTCTCATTTGCAAGTGATATTTATTTTGATAAATTTTTCGTTTTCGCTGGCTTTCCGCAGGATGTTTGGTTTCCTCATTCATGAAGTCGGTAATTGATTTTACACTTGCTGCCTTCAGACACTCAAGCCGGTTGTCAGTATCGCACACTGACTCTCACGAAAATTATTACGCGATAAACTCAAGAAATTTTTTATGCTGGCTATGTAGTAACAAAAATTGCGTCTAACTTTCGATTCGAATATCTAACGATTACATTTATCTCGATTCGTCAGCGCTATTTGCAACGGTTAGTGCGAAGTGACACTTACGAATTATCCATTTTCGAAGAGATCGGATTTCGTCTAAGAGCCTCCATTACCAGCCATTTGCATTGATAGCAAGCAAGTGCCTTGAAAGCCAGTTAAAGGGCACTTTGCGACATTACGTCTTCAGGTGTCGCAAAGATAGAACGTGTACCACTTCTTAAGAAGTTTTTCAACGTATGAATAAATATTACATTTATATGCAAAACAAAAGAGAAGACGTTAAATAAATCTGAAAAAAATGTTCTGTAATTTTGAGACTTCAAATTTTAATTTTTTATTAATAACAATGTGTAATCCGAGAAATACAAATTAATGAGTTGGTAACTGCAAAATTTCCTCATTTGAGACTTTATTACAATTATAATTTGTTTGTTGTAATTACTTGATGGTTCTTAAAAGTGATCATCGAGTGTCAATGTTTTTCAAGTATCGGGTTGTTTTTTTGTTCCGCTCCAATCACACAACACACGCGTCGTCGTACTCGTACGTACTCTATGCATCTGTTTAGTCGGAAAAAGAGCTTCTGAGGGTAGCAGGTTTTTATAGCAATTAAGATAATATTTGCACACACATTCGAGGGTTGTGATTTCCTGCAGGTGTTTCGATCGCCGTTGCAGACCTCGGTAAGTACACTGCGTGACCCCGTCCACTGTATTCACATCAGCGTGTACTTTCGTATTAATATTTTCACCCCAATTTGCTGATTGGTAAATGACACCGTTAAGAATTGAATTAAAATAGAACAAGTACAATATATACATATACATCGTAAATATAACATCACGTAATGTGCAACAATTGAAATATGTTATTAAGTTCTTTGACTTGTTTCATATAATGATCATCACTGTCTGATATATACCGAAACATTTTTGACGCAGAAACATATCGGTACGTATGACACATCGAAGAGAGGTTGTTATGCATGTGCGAAGTGGAGTGTATGGACTCTCTCTCTCTCTCTCTCTCCTTCTCTCTGAGGGGAGTTAGTTTAGCGAAAGACCGAGCGAGAGGGAGATACGGAAAGGTGCCGCTATTAGATCTTTCTCATGCTGATAAAACTGTATAATGGACTTAATCGCTTTGCGCCTGGCCCTCGGCTAAGCGTTTACGTTACTTTTCATGGGTCTCCGGCTATATGTATACCGCAGTGCAGTTATCAACACAACGAATCTACTCCCTCTTTTCAGTTCCCCCCGCTCTTTTTCTTTCCGCATCTGCCGCCGCTCCGCACTCGCGACTCACTCGCGGCTCTTTGTTCTTCGCTCGCAAAATCCATTGATTCCCTCGGGAAACGCGTAACATGCATATCCGTCCGGCACCGACGCCTGAACTTGACAAAAGTTTGTTACATGTGTGGGCACACTTGTTTCAACTCTTCGAGGGCGACTCTTCACATTTTACTGTGACCGAACGCGCGGAGCTTTTTACGTCAGCCGAGTGAATGCAAACAATTCTTGATATACTGCATATATATGATAAAAATATATATATATATATATGTATTTTTTTTTTAATTCTAATAACCAGGAACCAAGAAGAAGAGAAAACTGGAGTCGCGAAACATTTAATTTCTCTTCAAATTGTTAATGAAACTTTACGCGCCATTAATCAAGTTGCCTGTCATTGCTCTTTCTTAAAATTCGTAATAGCACGTCTGAAAGCCGTGGATAAACTGGACAGACTGCTCATTTGATAGAGATAGTTTCACCAAAACGTCAAAAAAAGACAGAAACTATCAATCACACGCGGAGAGTTAATAAACTCTTTGCGTTCTTGTACATTTTCCGCAACTCTCGAGGCCCGGAGCGAGCATCCCGCGCGCTTATGTATGCAGTAATTCGCCGCTGACCTTTAATAGCTCGGTTCAACTGGAAGAAATAGAAAAGAGAAAGAGAGTATGTAACTTCTCGGAGCTTAGAGCGAGAAGCACGTATATGTTGTGCTCGCTGACGTTCTGCTGGAAATCGCGATCTCTCTCTCCGAACGCGCCCCGCGCGTAGATTCCCTGAATTCGACCGTCATTTCCCGGTGCACGATCGTACAATTTCCTATGGTTTCACGGATCGTCCGAGTAACTCCCTTTTTGCCCCTACTTCGGCAAAATATACGGAACGGTGTGTGCTCGAATAGCCAATCGAGAAATCCCGGGTTTCCCTTCCGAA